CCTATGTCATTTCTTTATCTTTCCTACACAAGTCAACCACTAAGACTAATAGCAAGATAACTCTAAGGCTGCAGAAACAATTCAAGTTGTAATCAGTTTCCAGATCGCAGCTCCTCTGAACAACTCAGGAATCCAATCTTAATTCCTTTGCAGAGGAACAGAGTAAGTGACACATCTGATTGTCTCATTACATGCTAAAAGCAATGAGAAAGATCTATATTAGCTAGAGTCAGAAAGCAGAAAATAAATCTAGTTCAGAATCACCCATAGTATTAACTTTCCAATTCTCAAGCTGATCCATGAACTTACCAAGTATTCTTTGTAACTTACCAAGTATTCTTTGTAAGAAGTCTGTTCCAAGACATAACCAAGAAGCCATGCCCTAGCTCTGGGATTTCCTAGCCCTCTACAGATTCAGATACCAAGACCATGAGGGTTTGGAAACAATTGCGGCAGGTGCTCTCTTTCCAAATTTTGCTTTCTCATCTATGCAGAGCTGCCCGTGTCTACTGGCCAAGTTTGCGTTCTGGCTCATAAACCAGAGCTTGTTCCCTTGGCGCACCTCCCTTTGGAAATGCATTCTCCAGTGTATGTCCAGAACTAAATAGATTTCTTCTATGCTGTTTTGGCCAACGGTCCAAAATCTACTTCATGCTGGAATCCTTTCCCCAAGATGTTTCTTAAACTATCTTCAGCAGCACTCCTCTTTTCTCCCTCTCACTACTTTCACATCAGACCATACCATCCATTGTGGTTTTGTTCATCAGAAGCACCCATGCAATCCTTCTGAAAAAGAATGATTAACTCTAGATGTATTTATTTATTTATTTATTTATTTAAAGTTTTTATATGCCATCCCCATTGCTACACAGCCTCGGGATGGCTCACAACAACAAATAAATAAAACGAATAGAATTACAATTAAAACTTGGAAACACACCGGCTGCATAATTAGAACTATAAATATTAAAGATTATTAAAATACTGTTTGAATAAAAATATCTTGGCCTGGCGCCGAAAAACAAATAAGGACGGCGCCAGGCGAACCTCTCTGGGGAGTGCATTCCACAGATGGGGTGCCACCACAGAGAAAGCCCTCCTCCGGATACTTTGCTTCCTGATATCTCTCATGGAAGGCTCCCGGAGGAGAGCCCCTGCTGCTGATCTCAAGGGGCGGAAGGGCAAATATGGCCGCAGGCGTTCCTTCAGGTATCCGGGTCCCAAGCCGTTAAGGGCTTTATAAGTAATTACCAGCACCTTGAATTGGGCCCGGACTTCGATGGAAAGCCATGGAAGCTGGTAGAGGACTGGGGTTATACGAGAATAACGCCCAGTCCTCGCCAGCGACCTGGCTGCTCTATTTTGCACCATCTGAAGTATCCGGACTGTCTTCAAGGGCAGCCCCACATAGAGCGCTTTACAGAAATCCAACCGGGAAGTAACCAATGCATGCATCACTGTTGCTAGGCAGTCGTCCTCCAGGTAGGGACGCAGCTGATGGATCAGCCGAAGCTGATGGAAAGTGCTCCTCGCCACCGCCGACACTTGAGCTTCCAAAGTCAGCTCCGGGTCGAGGAGCACTCCCAAGCTGTGGTCCCTGTCCTTTAGAGGGAGTGCAACCCCATCCAGGACAAGGTGCAAGTCACCTACCCAGGAGTTCGAACCACCTACCAGCAGGACCTCCTACCAGCTAGACCTACCAGCAGATTTTATGAAAATCATAAAGCCATTGAGCATATATGCAGCAATTAAAATGAGGTACATTCATACTGCAGATAGACAAGACACTGAAACATTATGGTTCATTATTTCTATAAACACACAATGTTGCCAAAACGCTATCCAATTAATTGAAGGAACTCTATACTATCTATTATTGACAAAATAATTAATTAGAATCATTGTTCAAAGCTAAACTAGAGAAAGGAGTTCAAACTAGATGAAAGGCTTTGCAGAAAAAGAACAATTCCTAAATACTGAATATGACCCTCAGGGTCGCAGATGTGAGTTGAATCCATTGGTATGCCAGTGTGATGCAGTGGTTAAGGACACGGGACTGGGACTCATCTGGGTTCTAGTCCCCGCTCAGCCATGGAGCCAACTGGGTGACTTTGGGCCAGTCACAGACTCTCAGCCCAACCTACCTCACAGGGTTGTTGTTACTGGGTAAGACTGAAAGCAGCAAGAGGAGAATTATGTAAGCTGCTTTGAGTTAATGTAAAGACAAAGTGGAATATACATCTGATAACTAAAAAAGCCAGAAAGGAGTTCCACTCACCATAAGCAAAGGTTTCAAAGGCTTCCTTTGATAGGTACAATTAAAATAAATATAATCCATGTGGTATAAATTTGAAAATGAAATCCAGAGTACTGGTGCAAACTGTTTTCTACTTTAAAGTGTAGCTGACAACTTCTGAATCATTTGGTAGCACCAACAACTCTAATCCAGCATACATTTTGACAATGTTCAGCCAGGGTCAAAAGTTGTTAAGTGCCAAAAATAAGAAATTAACATTTCAACATCACAGTTTCTCAATTTCCCTCAAATATCTCATCCTACACTCATTTGCATCCAGTCCTATCACTTCCTGGCAAACAGATGGAGAAGAAATAGAGGTAGTGACAGATTTTATTTTCCTGGGCTCCAAGATTACCACAGATGGTGACTGCAACCAAAAAATTAAAAGACGCTTGCTCCTTGGGAGGAAAGCTATGGCAAATCTAGACAGCATACTAAAAAGCAGAGACATCACCCTGCCAACAAAAGTGCGTATACTCAAGGCTATGGTTTTCCCAGTTGCAATGCATGGTTGTGAAAGCTGGTCCATAAGGAAGGCTGAGCGCCAAAGGATTGAGGCCTTTGAATTGTGGTGCTGGAGGAGACTCCTGCGAGTCCCTTGGACTGCAAGGCGATCAAACTGGTCAGTCCTAGAGGAGATCGACCCTTACTGCTCTTTAGAAGGCCAGATACTGAAGATGAAACTCAAATACTTTGGCCACCTAATGAGAAGGAAGGACTCCCTGGAGAAGAGCCTAATGCTGGGAACAATAGATGGCAAAAGAAGAAGGGGACGGCAGAGGATGAGGCGGCTGGATGGAGTCACTGAAGCAGTTGGTGTGAGCTTGAGTGGACTCCGGAGGATGGTGGAGGACAGGAAGGCCTGGAGGAATGTTGTCCATGGGGTCGCAATGGGTCAGACACGACTTTGCGACTAACAACACCACAACACTCATTCAACAACAGTAAAGCTATATCTGAAGCAGCACTAGACTTTTAAAAGAGCACTGGAACAGCTATCCTATCATACAGCTCTTTTTTACTATTGAACTGCAAGGTGACCCCCTTATGGCATACACAAAAGACAAATACCTGAAATTAGCTTGAAAATGACACAATTGTTTGACAAACTGTTGTTCTGGCTACTTAATTAAGTATGCTTTTAGCTTATTACATCATTGTTCCTGACATGACTGCTGTTTTATTGTTGTGCCCTACTTGTTGATGCTTTATCTTCTTATAGATCAGGTGCTTTATTTTGTGAGCTGGAGTTCATTTTTGAGAGAAAGGGATATAAGTTTTCTAAAGGAAATCAGACAAGCACGTTAGCACAACATGGGGACAGGACGCCTTGCAGCTTCCAGAATACAGAGGAAGCCTGCAGACACACGACATAAATTTTTGGCTCAAAATCTCAAACAGCAACATAAAGGATGGTTCTGGGTTAAGCCTGAGATTTTTAAAAAAGTGATCCTTCAACAAATTGTACGGATCTACCTTATCTTTACTGATCCACCCTGAAAATAGCTTCTAACATGCAAACCTGCTGAGGAAGGGTTGTTGAGGTAGATAACAGGCCTCCCAGGACTCATGGGCTGTTTCAGGGTTGGTTTGTCAGCGACCCCCAACAACCCTAAATGCTGGGTTCATATGTAATAAAAAGCTATGGTATATACCTGCTCTTCTAAGTGGCAGTCATTACCGTTATGAGAAACCACATAGAGAAATGTATTCGTGGTGGCTTTTTACTATGTGTAAAACAGGCATTATACTTCTGCTTTTAGAGTACAACCCTGTCCCTGTCCTTACTACTAGCAGCAAATGGCTGTTGGACCTGTACATTCCACAGAACGCATGTGGAGATGTTGGAGGAGATACAGACTATATTCTAGTCTTCTCTGTGGCAGACCAAAATAAGCTGGTTACGCCCTATAAGATCTCTTACAGCCAACACAATTCAAGCATAAGAGCACTTTGACTTGACTTATAATTTTTTTCTGAGAAAGCAAGTCCTCCTCCTCCAGAATGAGATGGTTGTGATTTAAAGGATGCTTATGCAGACTGAACATGGACAACACAGAGCAGCTCAGCAAAGCTGTGAAATATCTTCATGGCTGTTCTTTTATTCCCTACATTTCTACTTTTCCTCTTCAGCCAAAGCAACTGACAATAGTGAAATCAAGCCATAAAAATACCAATTAAAACCCGCAATTAAAGCCATGCTTAAAAAACAAACTGAAGACACAAACAGGCAACAGGAACAATAAAACCCAACCCAATTCCAGTAAAGGTTTAATACTATCACTCCTGCAGTAAGCGTTTGATTGGACAAAACAGGCATTTATATGGAGGGGGCTTTTAATCTTAGTGTCCATTCATCCCTCCATAGGCATTCACTTCTACATCAGGCTGGAGAAGGCTGGCCCAACATAATGGGAACAGAGGATTAGTTATGAAGTACTTTAACCTCAAAAAGCTGGAAGGGTGTGATGTGGTAACAAAGGCAATTACTACTACATAGCATTCATGCTAGCCCAACCAGTCCACACTCCTTCAAGTCTCTGCCTCACTGGCTGGATGTTGCAGAGCTTTTCCAATTGCACAGAACACTCGTGTAGAATTATAAAACTCTTGCCCAACAATGAAATCAAAATTGAATAATGACATGGCTCACCAGAATGGAAAACTCAGAAAAGCAACAAGAGCATAGCAAAAATCTTACCTGCAGGTCAAAGAACTTGCTGTATCGTCGATAAATGGCCTCTGTGGAGCCACTGGACCAAGTGACCTTGATAATGTATACCTGTAAGAAAAATTGTAGATAATTTAGAGAATTCAGTTCATATCAGCTTCAAATATCAGGTAAGTCACGTCAAAGGTCCCAGTATTGAGTTATTATTACATTATATCCTGACTTTCTTCCTCTTACAAGGAACCCAAGTGAGCTGCATGGTCCTCCCCATCTCCATTTTATCTTTACAGCAACGTTGTGAGGTAGGTGAGGTTATGAATCAGTGTCTGGCCCAAAGCCACCCAGTGAGAGGGGACCAGCCACTCAAGTGGGGACCAACCAACAACTCAAGTCCAACCACTATACCACATTCTAGAGAGGATGCCCTTTACTTGGGCAGTCATTAATTCAGGTACAAGAACTGAAGGGCAAATCACCATGCATGAAACATTTCCACAAAGGGACAACCATATCCATGAATAAAGTGGGCAAGACAGGAGACTTCCATCTAAACGGTACCCTAAGGCTGCAGAGCAAAGCAATCTATAGACAATTGAGCCAAACACAACAGCATGAGGAGTTAAGGTGAAATTATTAATCTGCTAAAAGATTAAGCACTAAAGGCTGCCCAAATTTTCAAGAGCAAACTATTTGGGCTCAAAAGGGAACATGGGGTAGGGCTGGGACAAAGCTGATAGATGTCATGAAGGCCCCTTTACAGTCACTCTTGCCAATTCACAAGATGCCAGAGCAAAGGCAGAAAACACAACAGGACAACAGGAATAAGATTTGACTATGGGATAACATAGGGTTATATAGCCATTATAGTGTAGTGGTTAAGAACACAGGTATGGGACTCAGGGGATCCGGGTTCTAGTCCGCACACAGCCATGGAGCCAACTGGGTGACTTTGGGCCAGTCATGGACTCTCAACCCAACCCACCTCACAGGGATGTTGTGGGAATAAGATGGAGAACAGCAGGAAGAGAATAATGTAAGCTGCTTGGAGTTTGTAAAAAAAAAAAAAAAAAAGGCAATTAAGCACATCTGAGGTCAAATCAAATTAAGGATGATACTTCCTGGCCTCACCTGAGGAAAGTTTTTAAAAAGTAGTGCCCATCAGTCACAGGCTGTATGATCACTCATTGGTGTAAGTGTGAGGAGGGGGTTGGGTTGATGCTTTGCCCCTGGCTCAAAGAGGCCTCCAGAGGTTCTGCCCTCAATGCCCTCTTAAAGCTAAGCAAACGATTTGCAGTATGAACCTTCACTTTGATAAACATAGCGCCTTAAATTATTGCTAAGTTGATCCTTTCATACACAAGCCATACCTATAATTAGCCCTTTAGTATTCTTTGGGGGCAACCGCCAGCATGGCTAGCCTGAGGAATGCTGAGAGTTCTAGGATTTTCTCTGCCTAAACATATGTAGGGCTGCACATTTATAGCATTGCACTATTTATATTGCAAACTCAGTTCCTCATCATGGGAACAGACAGATAATACTCCGCTTAGGCATCTCAGTTTGGCTTCCATTCCCTAGGCTCAGTTTATCTCCACGCAAGGGTCCCAAGGGTCTGGGTGCACTGGTTTCATTGAGCAGATTCTCCATCCAACAGCAAGCAGAGGCTAGAACCACTTCAGCAAAAGCCTCCTCAGGGAAATTTCTTGTGTCAGCTGGTTCCCACCCGCTTGCAGAGTCTGCTAGACTCTGGTAAACATTTAAAGATCATAGGCTATTAGTATTGGCAGTTGGCCATGCCCTGCAATGACTGTATCACCCCTTGGAGTTTTGCTGTCTTTGCTTCCCGGCCTCCTCAGAAATGGGAATTTTGTATCCAAGTTCGTGGTATCATCCCCTTAGCCCCAGCTTTGCTGGATGTATTTGTGACAACCAACCTTGTTCCCATGATAACACCAATTCACTTCCTTGAGTGATGAAAAGTGTCAGTACTACCATGCCATGTGAATCTAGTCACTATTTGCTATATTTCAAATACACAAGCAGAGCATAAGCAGAGTTAAGTCCCTAAAGAACTACTTGGAGAACCCCCCCCACCCCGCTTTTCCACCGGCTAAAGGCAATTCCTGCTAGATACTTTCTGCTTTCTTCCTCCAACTCTTTCCCACCAGAGATTGCAGTTTCTCCTTGCCAAATACCTGTCCCCTCTATTCAGCTCAAAGGGCACTGCTAGCTACAAGTCCTGATGGGTATGCTAATTCAAACACATAAAGTTCTTTCTTGATGATTGAGACCATCTCCAAATCAGTCCTGAGGGCACTAATGAATCATCAACTGGTCATCCTGGACTATTAACCAGCAATCTGACTCACAAAGGCATGTACTAATCTCTTTATCCTGCGTAAAACTTCTCCCTGTACTCTCTGAAAAAAGAATTTATTAGTGGACACTTAACATCACAAGTCAATATACAGGCAGCCAAACAGTGCACATTGTTTCCAGGAAACACGGACACATGCGTTTAGTAAATGTATATTTTGTGTGTGTGTGTGTGTGTGTGTGTGTGTGTACACATGTATGTATATATAGAGTTGTAATCCATCCAGGGAGATGTATAGCTAATGGGGCAGGCTAGAATGTAATCAATCAATTGGACAGGGCATAGATCTTCATAGCTTCCAGCATTCCTGAACTTTGGCCATGCTGACAAGGGGTTCTGGGAAGTGAGCTATAAAACATCTGGAGTACTACCTTCTGCCCACCTCCACAGTAAAGCATGCAGGTCCTTTTTGTGCTGGTAAAATGACCATTCAAGGGATGCAAGTCAGGAGGATGAGTGTCCAAGGATGGAGAGGAATGCAGGCTTGAAGAGAGCAGTGCAGGCCTTGATTATGTCCTGTGAGGTCACAGCAGTCATGATTTGCAAATGACAGCCTCTGGCCACTGTTCTTTCACAGCTGAAGTACCGGGAGATACTCCAAGGTTATCTGTGGTAGCTGTTGACATGTCTAGCCTCTGTTGGCAAAATTAATTCCATCCAACCTCAAACTTTCACGGGGTCTATGTGATAAGCTCACCTTTACATATCACTTTCACCTCAAACAAGGACAGAAAAGAAACAAGAAACTCTCAATGGAGGCTCTACTTCATTCTCTCCTTGACATCAGGAGAAACTCCACTGGAGTGTTTTCACTTACAGAAGGATCGTCATCTGTGTAGATGCTGAACCAATGAACACCACTAGATTTCATACTTCTTTACAGCTGGAAAATGAGTTTTCTTCTTGGGTATGACAGCTGCAATGCAGTATATAGTCCAGGCCCTTTTACCTGGCCAAACTTTTGTCTCCTTCATGAGCCCTTGGATCTGACTTTTTTCCTGGCCTATACACCCCCATCCCCTTATGCCTTGGAGCAGCAGCTCTTCTTCCCAGCCAAACCCCACATTTCTCCACCTCTTTCTGCTGTTGCACCACCACATTTCTCACCAGTCCTGTTGTAATCAAGCTGCTATAACTTTTTCTTTTCCTGTTCTTTCATTGTTTCTATGCAATAGTTTCTATTGCTATTGCAGTTTTGTTGTTTTAAGTTAATTTTATCTTATATGCACATGCCTGTGTGTGGTTTAAATTTTCCTTAACTTTTGTTAACCACCCGAAAGCCATGGCTAATGGGCAGCATAAAAAGGAGGTACATAAAAGGTGCAAGACTCCCCACTTTTACATATAAATGCAAAGTGTCATTTGGTGCTAGCCATTAGTGATTCCATGCACTAATGCAATTTGCCAGACCATGCCTGTGCACTCTCCCTCTTGCTCTCCTCTCTGCATTAATTCCCATTCGAAGGAAAGAGCATCTCATGATAACTGGTGAAGATCTGCTTCTGGCCTGCTACAACCCTAGCAAAGATACCATTTAGGAAGCCCAAATTAGGGAGTTATAATTATCACTTTCGCAAGAAAGATTTCTATTTTGCTCTTTCCTGTTCTTTTCCTATGGATTAAAGTGTACTGCAGGCTCTTATTTCCATAAGTTTTGTTTTACTGCTTGAGCTTTAAATAAAATCAGTCTTCTGTAAGTATTTTCCAAAAATCTGATTAGAGTCTCATGAGAATACGCTCAAAATAGAGGCTGTATAAAGGGAAAGCAAAAACAAAGAAATATAGGCTTTTCCAGCCCCAGTGGAAGTCTCTCCCTCCCACATGGCAAGCTGCCAGAAGTGATCCATTACTGAAATGCTACAGAATGCTTAGCAAGCCAGAACTTCTGGGGGCCAAAGACCTAAATGATGTCATGCTGGCTGCTTTGCAGCAAGCCCTTTTGGTGAACCAGTTGCATCTTGGGAGAACTCTAGAGGAAATGGAACACTTTATTAGCCAGAGATAGCCTTTGCATTCTTGATCATACCGCAGAATAAGATTGTGTCTGATTTCGACATCCTGGGAAGAAGGTGGCTGCAACAGGGACTTTTCTGAGAAGCTTTTCTCTGCTGATTCAGTGATCAGCACAACTCACGCATGCTGAAAGGAACTGTGGCAGAAAAATGTACTAATGTTCTATTTTTCTGTGGACATTTTCCCCAGTTTCTTATGTTCATTAGTAACAATGAATTGATGCCAACTGCAAATATAGTATCAGGTATAGTATCAGCTCAGGTGACAGCGGTGGCGAGGAGCGCCTTCCTTCAGCTTCGGCTGATTAATCAGCTGCGCCCCTACCTGGAGTACGACTGCCTGGCGACGGTGACACACGCGCTGGTGACTTCCCGCCTAGACTTCTGTAACGCGCTTTACGTGGGGCTTCCCCTGAAGACGGTCCGAACACTTCAACTGGTGCAAAATAGAGCTGCCAGGTTGCTGACGGGGACGGGGCGTTATGCTCACATGACTCCAGTCCTCCGTCAGCTTCACTGGCCTCCCATTGAAGCCCGGACCCAATTCAAGGTGTTGATTATGACCTATAAAGCCCTAAACGGCTTGGGTCCTGGCTACCTGAACGAGCGCTTACGTCCGTATATGCCCAACCGCCCCTTGAGATCTGCGGGAGAGTCCCTTCTCCGGGAACCCTCCATGAAAGAAATTAGGAGGGTAGGTACTCGGAGGAGGGCTTTCTCTG